GTCAGTTCTCTTTTCCTCCTTTGACAACATGTTTAGCAGAGTTTAACGTTTTTGCTATTTCTCTTTTTAGTTATGGTTTATAAAACACATGAACTAGAAATTGTAACTGTTGGAAAAAATACTTTGGAATGTGATCATAAGATACACAGTTCCTAGCAAAAAAATTGTCTAGTTATGATGTTTTGGATGGAGTATGGTTAAGGATGTCTGTTAGAATTTGTATACTGAAAAGTCTGCTTTTTGCATCATTGAGTAAACTCCCTGTTCTTGTAACTTCACTACAATAGACATTTTCCTTTACAAATATACATTTTGAAATGCCCAGTGTAAATTTGTTTTAATATTTAGATTCAGTTCTATACCATTACACAGTTGCATGTGTAAAATTGGTTAAAGTAATTTTGCAATGTTTCACAGGTAAGTTCAGAAAATGAATACATTTAATTTAGTACTTCTAAATATCCACTTTTGCTGAAATGAGTCAGGGAAAATTTGGAGACCAAAATAATTACATTTTTCAAGCTAAGAGTAACTGAAAGAAGAAAAGGAAAATATAAGAGGAGATGCATTGCAAACTTAACTTTCATGGTAGCTGTCACTTGCTGTAATATAAGCAATACAAGTTAATCACATCTTTAGTAATGTGGATAAATATTTAATGAAAATATCAGTGCAGAACTGTTGTCTCTAACTTTGTGGTTACTAAATAAACAGTTCCTGAAGTCCACTACTTGTACTAGTTGATTGACAGTCTTACATGAGAATAATGTTCCTGAGAACAATATTCTCATCAAAACTTTTCTCATCAGTCATGGTTCTTTTTTTCCCCAAATATAATACATTTTTCACCTGAAACATGAATTCTAATTATGCACTGGCATTTAGCGATTCTCTCCTTTTTAAAGAAACTTCATTCTTGGGGTCCAGAGAACAGTAACATATAACAGGCTTGTCTTTTTATAGTTCAGTTATTAATTAATGAAGATTTTGTTTGGTAACAAACAAACTTTCTCATGCTTAAAGCAAGCTAATACAAATGGTAATGTGAGATTTAAAGGTTTAGTTCTTGGGTGGTTGTTACATAGAATTCTTTGGAACTTTACTTTTGCCTTAATTGCACAGTATACAGGCAGGCAAATAGGGATAACTGTCTTTTTCTTGAAGCTGTGCCTGATGGCAAATTTCATAGCCTCACTAGAGGCCTTGTTTGTGTGCACACATTACAGCAGCTTAACTAGAATTGTTTTAAAATCAATTTAAACTGGCAAACGCTTATATTGGCTAACAACTGGTTATATTGATTTCAGTTAATTCAGTCAATTGCAAGATAAGACGTGAGAGGCTTTTTTTTTTTTTTTTTTTTTTAAGGGACTTCCCAATAGGACCTTCATACAAATTACTAATTTTGTTTTCTGAAAGTCAAAGTAGCTAGAATACTGAGAGATGACCTGCAGAAACAAAAATAGGCCTTTGCTGTTTTCTGATTCATTCTGTATGTAGGTATTCTATAAGGTGTTTTAGTCTGATATAATTAAAGCTCTGTTAGGGTCTGAAAGACTGGTGTTTGGAGAGCTAATGTAGTGATGATATATTTGCTAAAAATGAAAGGTCTACTTTTGAGGGGTTGAACAGTATAAAATGTAGGGGTGCACCAATAAAGATTTTCTTGGCCAATACTGATAGTTGATGATTAACCAGCCATATTGGGTGATACCAACCCAATAACCAGTTTACAGGAATGCAGCTGGGCAACATGGAAAGCAGCTCCCTGCAGGTATCTGTGGAGGGGAAGAGGTTGGGGGGAGGGGACAGATCAAGGCCCCCATGGGGAGTGAGGGAGTGGAGTTGGGGGCGCTGCCTAGCTAGGGCAATGAATTGGACCTGGGGCAGGGAGTGGGACAGAGCCAGGGTGGCTTGTACAGGGGCTGGCACTTAAAAAATATGGTGGGGGTACTTGAACTAAAGCTTGCCGAAATAAGCTTTAGTTCAAGCTCTGCTGCCACCATTTTTAAGTGTGGGAATGCTTTTAAGCGGAATGGGGCAAGGATAGATGCCCCACTGCATGCTCAGGGCTTTCTTCCCTGCTGCCTTTGCCCTGGGGGCCCTATGCTGGCCATGTGCCCACTGCCTGCCTGGCAGCAGCAGGCACAACTTGCTGCCACTACTGCTGCCAGGCAGGCAGGGGGCGCGCAGCTGGCATGGGGCTTATGGAGGAAAGGCAGCAGGCCAAATAGCTGTAAGCCTGCAGCAGGCAGCCTACATTCATCCCGTGCACAAATCCGGGGGGGGGTGTAATGGGACATGCTCCTCTCTTGGGGAGTCTGCACAGTGTCAGGAAGCCACTGCCCCTCCTGCACCCCCTGGATGAGCCATTCATGGCTCTATCTTGCTCCCTGCCCTGGCCCCAGGTCCCATTTGCCATCCTGGTTGAGCAGTGCCTCCAGCCCCTGCCCCACTCCCTCTCTGTCAGTGGAGGCCTTGATCTTCCCCCCCACACCCCTTCACAGACTTACCAGCAGAATGCTGCTCTCCACACTGCTGGGCTGCATTCCTAGCTATGTACATGAATGCAGCTGCACACACTATTTATCGGTGATATTACTGGCTACACGTCCAAAAAAACCCAATAACTGATCATGTTAATTTTCTTTTCATCAGTGCTGATCCAATATATTAGTGCACCTCTATTTAAGGTATTGTTTTGGTGGGTTATTGTTGGTAAGAAACCTTTGAATAAAGGGAATTCAATATTTGTCTTCCCCTTCACATTATATTTTGGAGCTCAGAAAAATGGGCCCACGCATGTTTTAGTGGTTCTGTAAACCCACACTTGCCTATTCTTATATTTCAAAGGCGTGAAAAAAATCGGTAAATCACTTCCAGACAAGTGAAAAGAGGACAAAAGCCCAGTTGGGGGCGATAGAATATTTTCCCCTCCCCACCTCCAAATGCTCAAAGTACTATATTTATGTAAGATTTCTTCCTGTGTCCTTGTCATAAACTAGATATTTTTCCAAAATTGTACGCAAGCAGTGGCTCTTTCTGTCACTGCAGCAAGGTCCTCCTTTGCATAGGGCTCACCAAGGAGTCGGCAAATGAGTAAGTGCTCCATGGTCTGCACTTCACTGTATGTGCATGTATTCATGTCATTAGAGTAGACCTTTTGATCTTCCAGTTGGTGTGCATGGGCAGTTCAGGCATCGCCATGTTGACCAGTCTGTATATCAGCCCCTGTGGGATGGTCCTCCTGGGGTTCCAGGTCCATTTCAGAGCATCTGCTTGCATGTAATCTTTCTTTCCATAACCTCAGTCACACCTTGTCAGCTGTTGTGTCCAGGGCTCCAACACTGGTCACAGAATTATTTTCTGATTTTTTTTTTTTTTTTTTTTTTTTTAAAGCTGTTGGGTACCTCTGTGAGACAATACAGTGGATGTCATAAACACACTCATATGTATCTAAGACTGGCCAATGTGAATGCCTTTGAATAAATGCTGAAAAGGGAAATTGTTCTTGCACTTAAAATGTGCTAGTTAATTCTGTGTTCCTTCAAGTTTATTTTTGTTTTAAAATACTATTGCTTCAGTTGGTTCAGAGTTTTGTTGGGGGGGGAGGCATGTTAAATTAAATTTTCTGTTAGTTTTATTATGATTTGAAGCTCTGTTAACAACAGTTTTCTCTCACTCCCAAGTGTGTGGATGGTTTGAAAAGTCAGACTTGGTTTTGCTTTGAATATGAAAATAGTGATGTTTAAGCATTCTTTCAGACTTTTTTTTTTTTTTTTAAAGAAGGAAATTACGAATTAACTATTTATCTGAGAGGAAGACTATCAATTTAAATCACATTGCCATGTGCAGATTTTGTGTTCACCTTTGCAAGGAACCCAATGGTTCTTCAGTGGAGACAAGATTAAAATCTACTGCTGAACACTTGTAAAGACTTTATCTATGATCAGTTTTCCAGGGTTTATTGGGAAGTGCATTGAATCATTTCCATGCGCTGCTCTGGGAACAAAATCGTGAGCATTTTGTTAGGCTCAGTTATTTTCAATTTTATTGCTGTCCAAAACAGCATAGGCAGGACTGTGCACAGAGGGATGCTGGAAGGGGTGAGCCTGAGGATGTGTTTGGTTTTTTTTTTATTGTTTTTTCTTTTGTACATAGTACTCTTCCTCTTGGCTTTCTCCAAAAGCTCTGTAAAATGTAGGGGCTGGGGACCATGCACACAAAAACCAAAAACCTTTTTGGGTTAAGGTGAGGTAGAGAAGGAAAGGTAGAGTAGACAGGTGTGAAGACATAGATGACTGTACCTAGCTCAGTTTACAAGCGATGGTCCTGCAATTTTGCCCCGATGTGTATCAATCAAGTGTATTTAAGATTTGCATCTAAACTGTTACCACCTACTGATTTGAGTGGGTATAAGCAAAGGCAAAATTTGAATGCTTCTTTATATTTTTCCCCTTAACGTTCTAGATTTAGACAGTAAAGCAAAGAGAAAACAATTTTAATTTTAAAATACTTAGACTTCTGCAGTTTTCAAGTAGTGTTAACTTGAAAAAAAGAACAAGTTTGTAATATGTTTTTCAGTTGATATTATTACTCTGCAGTTTTGTCAAGCAATCCATAATAACGCAGTTTATTTTTTTGCAAAAGTATGTTGGTTATAAAGTGTCATTGATACTCTAGAACTTTTGCTTTTTTTGGCTAGTAAAAATGGATATAATTTTGAATACATACCGGGAGCTGATCCAAGTAAGACATGCAACTCTTCTGTAATAATCTTCGTACAACCACACCTTTAGTAGAACAAACTAGGGGGAGTCATTTTATTAAATAAAATTACCTCTAAATGACAACTTCATTTTTTTTCCCCTGGGATATGGTGAACAGGTACCAATAGACTTTTTTATTTTTCTTAGTGTATTTGTCTTTGTGCTTGCTTACACTGTGATGAAAGAAAATAGCAGAAATTTTGTCATGTTTCTGGCAGTAACTTTATCTAATTACCTTTTATTAGTCCACTCACAACCCAGGGATCACAACAAACTCAGCAGCTACAGAAGCATTATGGCATTACCTCACCTATCAGTTTGGCTGCCCCTAAGGAATCTGATTGTGCACTTACCCAGAAATTAATTGAAACGCTAAACCCCTATGGTGTATTTGAGGAGGAAGAGGAACTGCAGCGCAGGTGAGTAAGCACTAATGGTTGTTTTAAAACTTTTTACAGTTCACTTAACTGGCTACCTTAAACCATGTTTAAATTAGTTTTAAAATGCTCAACCTGAAGAGTTGATTTTTCTCTTCTTATCCAGAATATAGAGGGTCCCTACATTAAGGTTACCTTTGAATTTGACAGGATTTTGCCTTTTCCTTTCAACAGTGTCCTCTTCTAGTATTATTCCTGTTCCTTCCCACAATTCATGTTAAAACTTTCTTAAACTTGCGTCTTCTGCTGGCTCTGCTGCAGGAAACGTGAAGACTCAAGAGTGATGGGCAGGCTGTGTTTTGGAATTAATAGAATAGCAACCCAAAAACATGCAGATGCTTAGAAACATATGTACAGGTGATTAGCACCTGAATTCCCAATTTGCTTTTATGGGCTCAAATTACTGAAATTAAATAACTTAAAACAAAGTAGAAATGTTTTCAGAGTGATTCTTTTTAATAGCTGTATTAAAATAGTATCTCCTGTTTAAGTATGCTAAAACTGTTATTTCCATTTTTTTTCTTATGGTGTAGTGATCAACATCATAGTAAAATCTTATAGTAAATCAGCAAATAGTGAAATAAAAGCATTCTAATATTTTACCAACAGGATTCTAATTTTGGGGAAATTAAACAACCTGGTAAAGGAATGGATACGTGAAATCAGTGAAAGCAAGGTATGGGTGGATTTTCCATGTACTTACTTGCATTAATGCTTGCATAAAGATACTGAAAGTGGGCAGATCCAGGAGGGGTGCAGCTACACCTTCCTGGTGCTGCTGCCACTGTTGTCCTCGGTACCTAGGTGCAGGAAGCCCCAGAACTGCCCCTCTCTAACTGTGGGCTGAGGCTGTGTGAATTGCCTGTCTCAGCAGGGGACAGCAGCTGCAGTGAGCCGGTTTTCTTTTCCTGCGCTTGCTCTATGCTGTACCCCTCCCTATTCTTTGGCCTAGAATAGGCACTAGAAGGAGAAACCTGCACATCACCACCACTGTCCTTGGCTAACTTGATGGGGTTCCCCAGCACTGCTTCTGATTTGCTCCACCTATGGACTGCAGGTAGCAGCTGTCTGGAAAGGGATCCCAGTTCTTTTGGGAAGTGATGGCAGTGCACAGGGTGCTCCTTTCAGGACCTGTTTTCCTGGGGAGCAGGGACGAGAGAGGCAGGATAGGGAGCAAGTGCTGGAAGGAGGACCCTGTAAGTTACTTACCACTATTTCTGGCAGAGTCTGGCTTAAGGTACAGGTGTTCCCAACAGTTCCTGACTAGAGTAGGACAGGAGTGGCTTTGGAGCTCCCACCACCTCCCAGATCCACTGGGGGCAGTGGTAGCAGGTGGGTCATTTTTTCTCCATCCTCCCTAATACCTGTTCCCTGCCTAGCTCCCCAGTGCCCTCTGGAGGCCTTGAAGCTTCAGCCATGCCTTGCCCCCAATCCTTCAGTTGAGGACTGGTGGGCTGCACATCATCCCTAGATGATGACTCACTAGATCAAGAGGTATATCTCATCAGAGAATTAACCTTAATGTCAATTCAAGTGAAATGAAAACTTCGTATAAACATAATATAGGACATCTATGTTAATGAAAACTGAGAAGCTATAGTTATTGCTTCTTAATTTTCAAACTGGAAGAAACCATTAACCTGCTACATAAGCAGGTTTAGAAATTACTAGTGTTCTCCAGTATTATGCATAAAATGGTCAGTTCTGTTTAATTTTGTTTGACTGAACTGGTGGTAGACTTTGAGATAAATAATGTTGGTGAAAGGATGCAAAAATTGGTTTTTGTTTTATATTGATCTGTTTTACCTTCATCAGAAAAGTAATATTCTTGGTGGTGGTAGTGTCTTTTGTGTTGTGTTTTGTTTTGTTTTTTTCAAACATTCTCCAAAAATAAAGTATCTTGAGGTTTAAAGCATACCTCCTATTTTAGTTCATAAAAGGATGTAAGCCTAGCCGCCCTTTTTTTGTTTTTTGTTTTTTACCTTTTAGTAATATCAAACCAAATGCATTTCTTTTTTGGCTTGTTTATTTTATGTATAATACTTTTACCCTTTTACCTGTAGATTTGTCTTCTCTTACGTAGGCAGTGAAGCATGGGGGAGCACAAAAAACCCAAAAATAAATAAATAAATACATGTAGCGTTTCAAACCATGAACATGTGCAACCTGTCTTAAATGACTAGACTTCAAATTGTTGGTGTCTTGCAACATTAGTTTATTGTCATTAATATGGCACCTCACATCAGGTTATATTGTACCCTGCAACACAGAAGTAAAACTTGGTGGTGGGGGAGGCAGGAATTTGGAAGTTGAAGGACAAGTATATTAATTCTGAAAATAGTAGCATGCATCTATACTCCACATATCAACCCCCACCCCCCCTCCCATAGATATCTTTTCCTGGACCAACTGAGTAGTTGAGATACTTTTAAATTATAAGCTTTCAAGCATACCATACTCTTTATTTTGAAGAAAGGAATAATCCTGTCTCTTTCTAAAAGAGTAAGTACTTTTTCCTTGAAGGATAGGAGTTCTTTGTGTTCAAAAGCTCATCTCGGGTCTCTTCCAACCATGTGGTACATCCAACAGAAGATATTTTTACCCCCCTTCCATCCCTGCCCCTCACATTTCCTGGACTGTAGGGGCAGCAACATCACTTTTTTTAAGCTAGTCATAGTAATTCATCCAATATAGAATCTAGTAAGTTTTTGTACTTTATAGTGGAAGAAAATAAACACGATAGTGTAAACATTACTTGTCATTTCATACCTTCTGGAAGTAATAAAAATAGATTGAGTATAGTCTCCCTTGAAAATGCTTGAAAATCCATTGCTATACCACATTTAAGCAAAATGCTCTTAATTTGGATTCCCAGCTAATGGATTTGTTGCAGGTAAGACCATCAAGTTTCTGGCACTGTGATACATTACAAATTGTACTTAGGATGTGACGGGGCATAACATTTGCCTCTGTCTTCCCTGGAATCCCATGATGGTTATCTAGCTTTTATTTCTGTATTGGCTATTGATTACGGATGTAAATATTGTTTTAAAATTATCTGTTTAACCTCCTGTAATGACACTGGTTAAACAGTTAATCAGTAACATGGCAGCTTCCACACAATTGGTAGCTGCTCCTGAGCCCTTTGTCAGGCGTAGGAGGTATTAGCAAGCCCAGCCAGACCATAGGAAGCCCCACACTAGGAGGAAGGGAGCACCTGTGAATGAGCAGTTAATTGTTTGACTGAGTCATTAGGCTGCCTGCTGTTTTTCTCTTTAACCTCAGAGGTAGGGATCTCCATAGATTGCATTGGAAGTGCCTCCTGCAGTGGCTCCTTCAGTGTTTTTTGTTTTGCACCCCACCACCCTTGGTATTGCTGGGGAATGGAAAACCAAAGCATATTTAAAACTTCTGCCAATCCTGCCAGGGGCAGGGGGCGGTGAAATGAAAAACATTTAAAGAAGCTGCTGCAGGGGGACACTTCTAGCATGATTTATGGAGATTCCTACTTGTGGTACTAAATTCCCCTCACCCCTCTCCTACCCTTCCTGCTGCCTTCCGGTTCCTGCTGGGGCACTGGGTGGCTTCTCTTCATACCCTGTGCTAAACAATAACAGGTAGGCTAACCAGTTACCATTGGGTTTATCAGTTAAACGAGTAATTCTTTAACCTTTCACATCCCCATTGTTGATGTATTTTAAAATGACTGTCTTACATATTTTAATCTGTGTAATTAGCATGCACTTTCTAAATTATTTTGCTTTATATTTCCCTTGCAGTAAGTATCTGTTTGAATGCATGACTTAAAATAACAAGGTTGTTTCTTTCTTCCACTAGAATCTTCCACAGTCTGTAATAGAAAACGTTGGAGGAAAAATTTTTACATTTGGATCCTACAGATTAGGGGTGCATACAAAAGGTAAAATTTACCTTGCCTACCGTGGCAATTCTTCTCTGTGTGAATTTATAAAAAATGACATTTTATACATAGTAATATATTAGGAAAGCTATTCTGATTTGGAAGTATTTTGAAGCTGTCCAAGATAATTGGTATGAGATCTCCCTTGGAGCTTTAAATTGAAAAGGATGTCTGAGTGTACAGGCCTGGAATCCTTCCAAGACAAGCTCTGGGAAGTATGATCTGTGTGAAGCTTCGGGGGCTGATTCGATTTAGAGGAGATTCGGCTCGATTCGGTGGCTGAATCTCTGAATCCAAATTGAATAGGGAGTCCAATAAAAAGGTCTGAATCAATTTGAAGTTGTCCAAATCAATTTGGGGAGATTCAGGCAGTCAGTCCCCACTCGCCACCACAGAGAGCTGGACCCGGACTCCATGCTGTTAAGTAAGGGTGGTGGGGCTGGAGGAAGGGGGAGGGGACCATGGGGGAACCCCAGCATCCTGGCATTTAAAAAAAAAAAAAAAAAAAAAAGACTGCACTCAAGGGCTGCTGGGAGCTTGTGGCATAGCCCCCCGATGCAGTGGGGGGCAGCAGGGAGCACCCCCTGCCTTGCAGGAGCCAATGAATGCGGGGCTTGTTTGTTTTTTAAGAGCCGGGAGGCTGCGGCCTGGTGGGGCAACCATTGACAGGGCTGGGAGAGTAGGCAGGGGATAGGGCCTGGCTGATTCGGCGGCGGCTAAATCTCTTAATTGGATTCAGCCAAATCAGTTTGGGACAGTGGTTTGGAGTACCAAATGGAATCACTGTTCCCCAAATTGGCTGAATCCAAACTGAATAGTAGCCGCTTCGCACAGGCCTACTGGGAAGTGAAAATGCTGAAGTCAAAGGTGTATTTTTTTTTTTTTTGAAGGTGCAGGGGTAATTAGTATAGCTTCAGTTCCTGTTATAATACCTTGAAATATCCTGTACTTGAACAAAGCAAAATGAGGAATGGCGGTATCTTATTTTTTTTCTTTTGTTGCAAGAATTCTGTTAAAAGCCACTTAGACTACTCCGTGTGGTTTATTTTTATAACTTTGTTAATTAATCTGTGTTTTAGGTGCTGATATAGATGCATTGTGTGTTGCACCAAGACATGTGGAAAGAAGTGACTTTTTCACCTCGTTTTATGAAAAATTGAAGCAACAAGAAGAAGTGAAAGACTTGCGGGTAGGTTGGTCTTCTGAAATAGAATTAAGACAAATTAAGAAATATCTGAAGCAAAAAAAACTTTAATCTGTTAAGATTAGAAAGCAGTTTAATTAAATTCTGCACCACTCAGACCAGTTTTAGTCCGTCTTGTGCATATTCCCATTTATGAAAGGGTTAAAAAAATCTAGACAGAGGAATCTTCTAATAGCAGTGCTCACTAGAGTATTCACAAGTTCTTTCTGTCCCTCTCCCCCTCTCCTCAGTGTTCCCAGATGTCTACCACCAGAAGCAAAATATAGTATAGATGATCTCCCATTTGAAGGAGACAGACTTTTCAGCAATGAAACATGTAAAACTTTGGACAAAATAAACATTACGTGATCCATAGGTTTTTGGAGGATTACCAGGGCCTTTCTTCAGGTATTATGGACAGCTTTATCGCTAACCTGATCATCTGTTGTTATGCCTATGCATGTTGCTTGTGCAAGCAGTAACAACAAGGGATACTTTAAATTAGTGAGCAGAAACAAAGCATCCTGTAGTTGAATCTTCTCTGCTTGGTATCAGACTTTGTTTGCCATGCAGATGAAGTACTGCAAAACATTACTTAGAGATGCATGGGTTTTAGAAATAATAAAGGATTGTGCCATTCAGTTCAAAATCTTTCCTAGTTTGGGACTTCTGCCCTGTCTTCCCCCCCGAAAATATGCTAGGGTAAAAAAATATCTTGTTCAGATGGGAATAATAGAGGGGATTCAGAGTGTTCAGCTACCAAAACTTACACAATAAATCTTAATAAGATAAAGAAAAGGACTTTTGTGAGGTATGAGGCAGCTCAACATGTAAATCAGAAAGTTTTAGTTTCTAGCTTTGAATATTCCTTCCCTTGTAGTCCCAAATTTTTAGCTCTCTAACAGAGGACCTGCTCAAAGCATGTCTTCAAAGTTTTATATTTCAACTCCAGCTCCTTCACTAACTTAATGTCATGTGATTCCAAGACCAGTTGAGGGTATATCTCAACAATTGTTAGTTTGGGACTGTTGGAAATGTAAAGAGAAGATTTAAAACCTTAGTCTGTCTGTCCGTAATGCTTTATTCACACTCCTGATTAGCTGTCTTGGCAGCCAGTCAGTGTGAATAAAGCGGTAGGGACAGCAGGCAGTGGAGGGGCCAGGCAACTGCAACTGGTCTGGCCTCTTCCCCTCCCCTCTCTGCTCTGTGGAGGAGGCGGCAATGGTGCAAGGGGGTGGGGAATGGGGTCGGGGATGGGAGGGAGCAGCCCTGGGCCTGAACCGCAGTTGGGGAACAGGGTTGGGCCTGAATTGGGGGATGTGGGGAGCGGGGCTGGATGCTGGGCTCTGGCCCCCAGGGGGGCGTGGAGGGAGTGGCTCTGGCCCCAAAGTGGCGAGGGTGGGGAGAGCGAGCCTGGTCCCGGGCCTCCATCCCCGCCCAGCACCTCCCCCACCCCAGCATGTGTCAACGGAACAGACGGACAAGGGGTGCTGGCCCCATCCCCTCTGCTCACTGCAGGCCATGAAAACTGAGCATATTGGGGGAGGGAGGGACAAGGCCAGCGCCACTGGCCATGTCCACCCCCCAGTCCTGCAGGTGGTGATGAACAGAACAGCAGGGGTGGGGCCGGTGGATAGAGGGGGAGAAGGACTGGCCCCAAAGGTGGGGGGGGGGCAGAGCCAGACACAGGCCTCTGTCCCCAGCCACCTCTCCTCCCTCCCATCATTCTTGATGGGCAGTTGGCTAGTACTGCATATAAACCTTCTGGAGTAGACTGACGTTTTCTTAAGGATTGCATGATAAAGATGAGCAAGGATTTCTTATATTGATATCTTATGGGGCCAACATCATAGGTGGGCTGGAGTCTTGCACTCAAAAGCTAGTCTAACATTCTTCATGTTTTAAGGATTGCAGTCATTCTCTTTACCCATACAGAACAAAATGTAACCCAGATCACTCTAAAACCTAATTAAAACACTTATTATTGGAACAAAGTCCTTCCATAGAATCATAGAGAAGTATGCTTCAAGGGGCCTCCAGAGGTCATCTAGTTCAACCCCCTACCTGAGGATTATCCCTATCCAAACAGGCCTATATAATCCATAATCTAAACTGTGTATAAGACTACTCTGAACCCTGACGCAACAAAGACTTAATGACCTAACCTGTCACTGGTAAAGCAGGGAAACTATGGCAGCGTGTCCTGCCTGCTTCTATAACATGTCAGTATATGCATATGACATTGCGGGTTGAGGGCTATGCCCCGCACTCTAAAGGAAGGCAAACCCCCCTCCTCACAGTCTGTACCAGCTTGACCATGGGGTAAAGTTCCTTCCTGACCCCAAATAGAGTAATTGGACTGACCCTCTAACTAGGAACCTCTGGTTTTGGTCCTAGCAGGAGTATTGGCATACCCTAGCCAGTCCCTCCCCAGCTCAGTGCCTCAGGTGAGGCTTAAAATGCTCTGACACGTAGCAGGAAGAGGGGTGGGCACAGCCAACAAAACCCAAAAGTATTGGAAACGACCATGGTAGAACATAAGCATAGCTACGCCTAGATCATCTCTGACCACTGAGGTGTCCAACCTCTTCTTGAACACGTCCAGTGATGGGAACTCCACAACTTCCCAAGGCTGTCTATTCTACTGCTTCACTATTCTGGAGGGAAGAAGTTTTTCCAGATATCTTGTCTAAACTTTGCAACTACAAGCCATTTGTCTGTGTCCTCCTCTGCAGCAAGAGAGAAAAGGTGCTTTCCATCTTCTCTATGGCAGCCCTTTAAGTATTTGAAGACTGCTTGATTTATATAGGCTGTTATGCTACATTCTGATGAGGACAGTGACAAAACCATTAGGTCAGAAAACTAATCTGCTTTAGAGGGGGAGGCAGGGGAAGATGAATCACAAAGTGCCTGTTTTGTTTTCTTATTTCCTAGTCATACACAGGGTGCTAGATACAGTGCAGCAAAGCAGGTATGAACCAGATTGTTCTTACATGCCCAAGTGATAGGCCAGTAATGGTGTATGTATTTATTTGATATGTATTTTATTTGATTTATTTTGATTATTTGATAGAGTCTGCAAATTACTGGTAGTTATAGCAGAAATTGCCCAGTATATGCTGTGAACTTTGTGGTTTTGAATTTGATAGCTGAGAAATTTATTGAATGTGTTCATGAATATTTATTGCACTTAAGACCTATTTTTCTCTCTAAGTGCACTTAGTAGCTAATCATGTGCCAAATGTTGATATCTGTTTTTTTTTTACCTGACATCACTGTAAAATTAATTTGCTAAATAATAAGCAACTAACTGTAAAAGAAGATTACATCATGCTCCTTGCATACTTTATGAACCCTCCATTGTTTGTCAGTTAGAGTAACATTTTAATATTCATTACTTCAGCATTGTGGATCACTTGTCGCTTTTTTTCTTACCAGTAAAATTCTCACTGACCACTTGACAGAGTAGGGTGAAGTCTGTGTTTCATATCAATCAATTAGTGTGCTAGTTTTCTTTGAGAGAGCATGCTCATAAAGGATATGTAAGACTACACATGGTTGCTAAGAGCGATTTTTTTTTTTTTTTTTAATTATTATTATTATTTCAGTAGAATAGGATATTTCAACGGTTTATCAAACCCTTCCTCCCCCCCTGACAACCTTAGTGTGAAGATATTTTTTACCTAGTCAGCTGAATGTGTAAGCCTGTTCTGTCCCAAGTGTGTAAGTGCATAAGTCTGACCTATATACTTTCTTGACTATGATAGTATCTACTTCTCATGTTTAAGCAATTCAGATATCCAAAACATAGAAAGCTGCCACTTGCAGCTCTGTTCATTGCTCAACTTCTGCTTACCATATTTATTCAAATTCAAGATCAGGTTTTCTCTCTCTGCCTACTGAAGGGGATAGGATAGGAGGTAGGGTGACCACCTGTCCCTAATTGGGCAGCACAGTCCTTGAATGGGAACTTCAGGTCCAGGTCCACATGACTGGGACAGCATTCGTCCTGGTTTCACAGGATCATGCTGGAATCTGGGAAATGGCGGGTTTCCCCTTGCAGACTGGTAGCTTTCTAGCCTGCCAGGAGCTGCTGGGAGCAGGATGCAGGGAGAGTCATGTGCATGTGTGCATCTACACACATGCATGTGGCCAGGAATACAGCTGGGCAGCCTGGAGAGCAGCTCCTTGCAGGTAAGTCTATGGGAGGGTGCGGGGAGACAGATTGAGGCTCCCACGGTGAGGGAGGGAGTGGGGCAGGGGCTGGGGGTGCTGCCCAGCTAGGTCGGTTCATGGGGCTGGGGCGTGGAACAGGAAAGCTAAAAGTGACTTGTCCAGGGGGTGCTGGATCATGGGGGGCGGGGGGGTCGGGGGCGGGCTTCCGGTCACATGTACCTGCTGGGGGGCACATGTTCACCCTGACTTTTTGTGTGGGATAGGGACATATTTTAAGACAACTCTCAAAATACTTATGAAGTCTATAAATGGACAATTACAACACTTTTAATTTTCCATTTATAGAATCATGAATACAGGTTACAATTAAGTAACCTCCATCTACCCAGAACATATTTTAATAAAACTGTAGTATCTGAACTTTGTGCATTAATTTTCTATCGGCTGTTTTTGTTTTATTCAAAAACCAGTTTGAGGTGGAAAGAAGATAAATGTCCATAAAGGACACTGACAGATGTGAAAGGAAAAAAAACAAACCAACACTTTACTGAAAGAGGCATCACATCAGTTTGACCCACCTTCCCAGCGTCTGTATAGCTTGTGCACTTCAAGCAGGGTTTTTTGGCATTTTTATCTAATAGTTGATTCAAACAGTTATTAGATTAAGAGCGCCAAAAAGCCTTGCTGAAGCATGTGAGCTATACAGATGCTGGACAAGCTGGGTCAAACTGACACGGTGCCTCTTCTGGGTGTGCACTGTGCTTGGCATGGGGGTATACCGTGCTGAAAGTAAAGTGGCTATTTCTTTGTGATTTTTTTCCCTCCCCCATGACTGTAAACAGCCTTAAAGTCTAACCTCATGGTAGTATCATTTAGACTCGCCAGCATTTTTGTAAATATTCTTTCTTTTTTGCAAATTAAAATGTAATTGTTTTTCTTATTTCAGGCTGTTGAAGAAGCATTTGTCCCTGTTATCAAACTGTGCTTTGATGGAATTGAGGTAAGGGTTAGCCAGTTTGCTTTCCCAACCATTGTTAAAACATTAACACCACTATTGTACAACTATTCTGGAATCATCTCTTTTGTATAACAGTTGGGTATTATATTCTTATACCTGATTCAAGGAATCTTGAAGTACCTTACAAAGGAGGGTTGGTATCATTTGCATTTTAGAAAGGGAGAAACAGGTTCAGCTATGACATGGCTTCCTTAGGTTTATCCAGCAAATTAGTGGCCCATTTCAGGAGTGAAGCAAGAGGTATAGTCTTGGGCTTTAGCCACTAAACAACATTGCCTCCCAGTCTTATTGTAATCGAATTATGCTTGAATCAGTGAAAAAATTGAGCACTTCATGTAATTTTTTTTTTTTAAATGGAGGCCCAATTGTTTTCCTTTGATTCAAGTGTAATTCAGTTATATTAACATAGTATATCAAAGAAGTTGCCTATTGAATGATGCAGATATTAGAACTCTGCAGTTCAGTAAACTGTTGTAACCCTTTAATGGTCACTGTCAAAAACTAACATTTGTTCAGAATCAAACTCAAAATTTGTTTTAAAGCAATGTTATGATGGAGAACAGAGATGTAACTGGTAGAGTTTATGCTCTGGGCAGCAGAAGTGTACAGGGTTTGCACCCTCAGATGCCTGGATGGAGGCAGGTAGTTTCAGGGCTCTGGCGGTCTGGTGGGCACATGATGCTGGCTCGAAGGAAGGTGTCACTGCCAACAGCAAAGTTTAACCCTTCCCTAGGCCTACAGCCACTACAGCTTTATATCCAGATTGATGATGCAAAGCTGTTAATTTGGTAGTGGCTGCAACAGCAGCAGCTAGCTCCCTAGCATGGGAGGGCAGGGCCCTGCTACATTTTCCCCCCCTTCATCCCCCAGCCTCAAGTGCCCTTGCCTTCATGCTAGCAGCCCCCTTTTACTGAACTCCTGGGGTTTCTGCCCCAGTTACCCACCCTTAGTTATACTTCTGTGGAAGAAGTTTTATGTGGCTTTTTCATCTGTACTAATTAAAACAAATATGTTGCTGACAGAAAATCTAGTAGTTCCTTTGATCCCAGTATATTCAAACTCCTGATAACACCTGCCACCAGCCCCTTCTGCCCTTGGTTTCACCTGCAGTAACCTGATGCTGTGGGATGAGACACATTTGTTCCTTCCCCTTAACAGAGAGGATTTGTATTGTGTAAGCAGCAGAATTATTGTCTCTTCAGCACCATTCTTCACTTATTTTGAAGTGTCCTATTCTCCAACGTATTAGCATGAAATTTCCTATAAAACAGCAGTGTAATCCAGACTTTCTTTTAAACTAAAATACAATTAAAAATGGCTTGCTTAACATAGATGATAATACCTTAAAGTGCAAATAAAGCCATGTTAAGAGAAAATAGAAAAATGAATAGTTTATCTTTGGAAAGCAGCCTTCTCACTTTTTATAATCAGCCTGTTGCTTTCTGTTGCTGATAAGGTACCAGTTTGCTGGGATCTACAGACTTCTTATCAGACTTTCAACTGAATTGGGTAAATCCAAGGCCAGGTGATTTAAGGAATACAGAGCCCTTAGCACAGAAATACGCCCCCACATTTAATTCTTTTGAACCATGACACTGTTTCTATAACTTAGTTTAGCCCTGGAACATGCTCCCTTTTATTCCTTCTAGCAGGTTGATTTTATTGTATGAGTCTGGGAGTGGGGAGCAATCCCAACTTGAGAAAAATTCCTTGTTTTGCATCTAGGAAAATTTCCCTTCTGCTTTAGGAGTTGAGTAGCAGATCCCTGCCCCACAACTGTAACTGTTACTCTAAGGTGTGGCTGGTATTGCACTTTCTCTTCTTTTACCAGGTGAATTTTACATGTGTTATTTGAAAGAGGTAGACCAGTGGTTCCCAACCTTTTTAGACTGCGGACCAGCATACTGCAGACCGGAAGTGACTGGCATACTGCGGACTGGCAGCCAACCCTTTTTTATACTCTTTATACTCGCTTTTATACTCTGCCAGTCCGCAGTATGCTGATTAGGGGAGTGTGAAGCAGACACGATTCGGTTTGGATTTGGCCTGATTCAGGGGACAGTGATTTGATTTGCTGATTTGGATCACTGTCCTGATTCGATTTGACCAAATCTGAAGATTCAATTCTGATAATCAGTGATACGGCCATAGACACAGCTTTATATGTTTTTTCTGTGTACCTCGAGGTACCAGGCATGGCTTGTGAACGCTGAGATGGTGGGGCGGATGGAGCATGTCATTGGGGGGGAATGGATTTACTCTCACAGCCTCCATTGGCCTCGACACTGACTCAAGGTTCCTCTGCCCCAGCCTGAGCATGCTCTAGGCACAGCCTGCAATGCCCACAAGATGGCAGCACTGCATTGCCGCATGGCTCCTAGGCCACCAGCAGCCAGGACCAGAGAGCTCCATGCTCCCATGTGCTCCAGACTCATGCATTGAGAAGCCCCAGGTCCCACACAACTGCTTTTACCCACACACCCCGGGGCATCCTCACTCTAGAAACCAGCATATAGCAGCCAGGCCTGGGAGAGATGGAGGGTGCAGGACACTGGGGTACACCCTACCCTTCCAAGAACAGCCCATGGGATCCTTGCTTGGACAGCTACTTGAGCAGGGAAGGATGGCAGCTCAGGATTGCACTCAAGTAGGGTGACTACCTTTTCAAAACGCAAAAGCAGCACGCCTGGCCTCCTTGCCTCGCTCTGTCCTCCCATGCTGGGTCCTGCCCACTGGGTTGCAGAGGTCCCAGGGGAAGGGCAGCAGGGTGGGGAGCCCTAAATCTACAGCAGGCAGCCTGCATCCACTCTTGCCCCAAGCAAAAATATGGGAGGGAGGCACATGCCCCACATGCCTCCATCCCTGGGAGTAGGGTGACCACCATCCCTAATTAGGCTGGACAATCCTGTAATGGGAGCATCGAGTCCTAGCCCCAGGCTGTATGACTCTGGATAACATTTGTCCCCCATTCACAATGTTGTGCGTGGATCCGGGCTTTCCATTCACCATGGAAAAACATGGGAAAATGGCAGGTTTCGCCTTGCAGGCTGGCAGCATTTCCCCATGCAAGAGACTGCTTGGGACTGTGGGGAATGGGACACAGTGCCATGTGCATGCCCGCACACATGCGCATGGCCAGGAATACACCCAGGCAGCATGGAGAGCAGTTTCCTACAGGTAAGTCTATGGGGGAGAGGGGGCATAGGAGGAGCAGGGGGTGCAGACTGAGGCCCCCACAGTGAGGGATGGAGTGGGGCAGGGGCTGGGGGTGCTGCCCAGCTAGGTCGGTTCATGGGGCTGGGGCGTGGAACAGGAAAGCTAAAAGTGACTTGTCCAGGGGGTGCTGGATCATGGGGGGCGGGGGGGTAGGGGGAGGGCTCCCTGTCACTGCACTGCATGTACCTGCTGGGGGGCACATGTTCACCCTGACTTTTTGTGTGGGATAGGGACATATTTTAAGACAACTCTCAAAATACTTATGAAGTCTATAAATGGACAATTACAACATTTTTAATTTTCCATTTATAGAATCATGAATACAGGTTACAATTAAGTAACCTCCATCTACCCAGAACATATTTTAATAAAACTGTAGTATCTGAACTTTGTGCATTAATTTTCTATCGGCTGTTTTTGTTTTATTCAAAAACCAGTTTGAGGTGGAAAGAAGATAAATGTCCATAAAGGACACTGACAGATGTGAAAGGAAAAAAAACAAACCAACACTTTACTGAAAGAGGCATCACATCAGTTTGACCCACCTTCCCAGCGTCTGTATAGCTTGTGCACTTCAAGCAGGGTTTTTTGGCATTTTTATCTAATAGTTGATTCAAACAGTTATTAGATTAAGAGCGCCAAAAAGCCTTGCTGAAGCATGTGAGCTATACAGATGCTGGACAAGCTGGGTCAAACTGACACGGTGCCTCTTCTGGGTGTGCACTGTGCTTGGCATGGGGGTATACCGTGCTGAAAGTAAAGTGGCTATTTCTTTGTGATTTTTTTCCCTCCCCCATGACTGTAAACAGCCTTAAAGTCTAACCTCATGGTAGTATCATTTAGACTCGCCAGCATTTTTGTAAATATTCTTTCTTTTTTGCAAATTAAAATGTAATTGTTTTTCTTATTTCAGGCTGTTGAAGAAGCATTTGTCCCTGTTATCAAACTGTGCTTTGATGGAATTGAGGTAAGGGTTAGCCAGTTTGCTTTCCCAACCATTGTTAAAACATTAACACCACTATTGTACAACTATTCTGGAATCATCTCTTTTGTATAACAGTTGGGTATTATATTCTTATACCTGATTCAAGGAATCTTGAAGTACCTTACAAAGGAGGGTTGGTATCATTTGCATTTTAGAAAGGGAGAAACAGGTTCAGCTATGACATGGCTTCCTTAGGTTTATCCAGCAAATTAGTGGCCCATTTCAGGAGTGAAGCAAGAGGTATAGTCTTGGGCTTTAGCCACTAAACAACATTGCCTCCCAGTCTTATTGTAATCGAATTATGCTTGAATCAGTGAAAAAATTGAGCACTTCATGTAATTTTTTTTTTTTAAATGGAGGCCCAATTGTTTTCCTTTGATTCAAGTGTAATTCAGTTATATTAACATAGTATATCAAAGAAGTTGCCTATTGAATGATGCAGATATTAGAACTCTGCAGTTCAGTAAACTGTTGTAACCCTTTAATGGTCACTGTCAAAAACTAACATTTGTTCAGAATCAAACTCAAAATTTGTTTTAAAGCAATGTTATGATGGAGAACAGAGATGTAACTGGTAGAGTTTATGCTCTGGGCAGCAGAAGTGTACAGGGTTTGCACCCTCAGATGCCTGGATGGAGGCAGGTAGTTTCAGGGCTCTGGCGGTCTGGTGGGCACATGATGCTGGCTCGAAGGAAGGTGTCACTGCCAACAGCAAAGTTTAACCCTTCCCTAGGCCTACAGCCACTACAGCTTTATATCCAGATTGATGATGCAAAGCTGTTAATTTGGTAGTGGCTGCAACAGCAGCAGCTAGCTCCCTAGCATGGGAGGGCAGGGCCCTGCTACATTTTCCCCCCCTTCATCCCCCAGCCTCAAGTGCCCTTGCCTTCATGCTAGCAGCCCCCTTTTACTGAACTCCTGGGGTTTCTGCCCCAGTTACCCACCCTTAGTTATACTTCTGTGGAAGAAGTTTTATGTGGCTTTTTCATCTGTACTAATTAAAACAAATATGTTGCTGACAGAAAATCTAGTAGTTCCTTTGATCCCAGTATATTCAAACTCCTGATAACACCTGCCACCAGCCCCTTCTGCCCTTGGTTTCACCTGCAGTAACCTGATGCTGTGGGATGAGACACATTTGTTCCTTCCCCTTAACAGAGAGGATTTGTATTGTGTAAGCAGCAGAATTATTGTCTCTTCAGCACCATTCTTCACTTATTTTGAAGTGTCCTATTCTCCAACGTATTAGCATGAAATTTCCTATAAAACAGCAGTGTAATCCAGACTTTCTTTTAAACTAAAATACAATTAAAAATGGCTTGCTTAACATAGATGATAATACCTTAAAGTGCAAATAAAGCCATGTTAAGAGAAAATAGAAAAATGAATAGTTTATCTTTGGAAAGCAGCCTTCTCACTTTTTATAATCAGCCTGTTGCTTTCTGTTGCTGATAAGGTACCAGTTTGCTGGGATCTACAGACTTCTTATCAGACTTTCAACTGAATTGGGTAAATCCAAGGCCAGGTGATTTAAGGAATACAGAGCCCTTAGCACAGAAATACGCCCCCACATTTAATTCTTTTGAACCATGACACTGTTTCTATAACTTAGTTTAGCCCTGGAACATGCTCCCTTTTATTCCTTCTAGCAGGTTGATTTTATTGTATGAGTCTGGGAGTGGGGAGCAATCCCAACTTGAGAAAAATTCCTTGTTTTGCATCTAGGAAAATTTCCCTTCTGCTTTAGGAGTTGAGTAGCAGATCCCTGCCCCACAACTGTAACTGTTACTCTAAGGTGTGGCTGGTATTGCACTTTCTCTTCTTTTACCAGGTGAATTTTACATGTGTTATTTGAAAGAGGTAGACCAGTGGTTCCCAACCTTTTTAGACTGCGGACCAGCATACTGCAGACCGGAAGTGACTGGCATACTGCGGACTGGCAGCCAACCCTTTTTTATACTCTTTATACTCGCTTTTATACTCTGCCAGTCCGCAGTATGCTGATTAGGGGAGTGTGAAGCAGACACGATTCGGTTTGGATTTGGCCTGATTCAGGGGACAGTGATTTGATTTGCTGATTTGGATCACTGTCCTGATTCGATTTGACCAAATCTGAAGATTCAATTCTGATAATCAGTGATACGGCCATAGACACAGCTTTATATGTTTTTTCTGTGTACCTCGAGGTACCAGGCATGGCTTGTGAACGCTGAGATGGTGGGGCGGCTGGAGCATTCCAAAGGAGTGTGTGTGTGTGGTGGGGGGGGGGGGGGGGGTTCCCCTGCATGCTCGGTGGTGGACTGGAAGCTGTGTCTACAGCCGACTCATTGAATGTCTCTGAATTGATTTGGAGGCTTCTGATTTGATTCAGAGAGATTAATGGGTCTCCTGATTTGATTTGGATTCGGCCACCGAATCGGGCCAAATCTCCTCCGAATTGAATAGGTGACTGAAGCTTCGCACGCCCTTAATGCCGGTCACTTCTGGACTTCCGGTCTGGCAGCCAACCCCTTGCAGCCTGGGGGTTGGGAACCTCTGACATCAATTGTTTCTTCTTTAAAGTTTCTGTTTGTTTCGTTTTTCACTGAGATAGTTGTGCTGTCCAGAAGGTAGGTAGGCTGAAGTGCTCAATCTATACAGACATTGGGGAGCCAGGTCAAACTGACATGCTTCCTCTTCCACTAAAGTGCTTATTTTTCCCCTACCCCCCACCCATGGTCTGTCAGCAGCCTAAGTGTAAAAGGAGGCCTCTATATATAGGGGTGATTCTAGATCACAGTTCAGTGTGACACTTGCTTGGAATACCAACAGGCCTCTGTTTAAACATGGTTAAACTACCCTTGGGCATAAAAGTAAATGGAGACGGTGCTCCTTTCATTTGTACCGGAAAAATATTCTCACCAGCAAAAGTTTTAAGGGAAGGGTCTTAGATCTGTAGCCTAATAATGCCAGTGGAGCCTCTGGACTTGCTGATGAGATCAGTTTCCTTGTTTATCTTGCCTTTTACTATGAAGATGTTTACAAAAGGGAAATTACTTATTTCTTGATTTTTTTTTTTTTTTAATTTATTTATTTATTTTTTTCATCTGTGAAAGGAAAAAAGTAGAAAGCTATTTTATGTATGACTTTATTATTAAACAGTAATGTTCATAAATGTTTTTCTGAAATTTTTGTCTAGAGTTTAGTTTTCATGTCAATTTCAAACCTGAAAATCAAACTGTGTTTTCAACTTAATTTAGATGAAGGCAGAATTGAAAGCTTAATACAATTATCAGTTTCTAGGAAGCCACTAGGAAAGACTTTTTTTTCTTTAACATTATAATAGTGTAATGAGAATTTGCTTTTAAAATATAGACTGTGTAAGAAGTCTCCTTTGCATGGTAGATTGAGATATATCCTTTGTGTCTTCTTTTTCAAATTACTTTTGAATTAGAAACTTTAAAATAGATGGTTGAAACTTCCTTGTTTGTCCTTTGATAGTTTTTAAGTGTCCTTAAACTGGCTGTAGGCCTCCATTGTCTGTCTTGCTCTTAGTGTGATAGTCTAAGGTATTTCACTTAGGCTAGGAGAAGCATGTTGTCAGGTATAATTAAAATTTAGCCTGGGCAAGTAAAACTCAGTGCTTGACTAACAAAATCCTAAGGTGTTCTTTGTATCCTTGTCATATTAACTAACATCTTCCATCTGAGGTTAAAAATACCAACTTTGCCTCCCAGCTTAGTTTCCTATGAACATCATCAGTGAAATGACATTTGTATCCTATACACAGCACTCAAAGTGTGGAGAGATGGATTTTGGTTCTATCTTTGCAAGGACCTCTTAGAATAATAGGATCTTAGGAAAGTAAGGTTGGAAGGGATCTTAAGAGATAGTCTAGTCCATTTCCCTTTTCAAGACAAGATCTAAATTATTCCTGTTTTAAGTTTAGCTGTTATATATGGTGTATGGTGTAAATGGTCAAGTTGGCTAATTGTCAGTGCAAGAAATAGAAAAATTATGGCCAAAATTATTTCCTTTGCCTGTATCTATTTCAAATCCTTCCTGATCACCACTTACACACAGCTTGGTACGCAGTCCCTAGGTTTTATATTTTTAAATGCATACCATGTTTGTAGTCCCTTATACTGTTGGCATCTTGACATAGCTTGCCCCTTAATGAAAGTCCAACAAGCTAATGCACTTTGACTTCACACTTCAGTGTATCTTGTCAATGTAGTCACAACCTTTATAATTTAAAGCTAGTGCTCTACTACACTGGGTATGTGTAGAGCCAAATTTGCCTGTTAATTTGGAGTACTTGATTTCCCCCTGCCCCCGTGGAGCACCTGATTTTTGTGCGTTTATTTTTATTTTTTTGATGGTTTGCCAAGATTTCGGACCTAGTCTTATTTTCTCATCGGACACATTTAAAAGTCATAGTGCTTCCCTTGGAAGTCATGGCAATGATAGATGTACAGATTTCGTTGCAAATAGGACACTTTTCAGTACCAGTTATGTCGTTTTTCCTTGGTTCAGACCCAGGCCTCATACAGATGTTCAGTTTCTCTTGGGAAAGTTACTGCTGTCCCAGTAGAAACCACAAATGTACAGATAGCTATGCTTTTTCTCCCAGGGTAAGAAAAGCCATTCCAGGAGAAAAATAATCTGGCAAAAACCAGGGTTAAATCACTGCCAGGAATGTTTTTCCTGGGACAGTGAATATCTGTACATGCCCTAGCTTTTTTCAGAAGAGAATATAGACCTCCAGCTTTTCCTTCTTTTCCCCAAGGAGACAGTGTGTCACTTGCTGGTCTCTGCTGTTTCAGAACACTCCCCCTTGGCAACTTCCATGCTGTGCTGCAGGGAAGTACAGCCTGATGGAGGGCAGTCTGTCAGCCAATCAAGACTGCCCTATGCCCTGCTGCTATCTGTTTCCAGGCAGGTTAAGGGACTTTGCAGAGCATGCTAAAGTATCTTTAGGGCCTCAGTATTTTAGTGTCTGTATACATGGCTCTGGGTAAGTTTTTTCTGCCATGAGAACAAACCTGAGAGAACTCTCCCACATTATTTGAATGTGTAAACACAGCCCCAGTTTGCTTTCAGCCTGCCTTCTGAAAAGCTATGACAATGTTTGCATATCTGTAGCTTGTTCCTTAGAGAGGCTATCAAACATGAGAGAATTTACTGAAAGCTTTGCAAATAGTGTGTTTTCTTTACCTTATCTTTTCAAGGATTCTGTGTAGGTTTCAGCATTCCTTCATTCTTTCTTGGAGGATAGGGGGAGCAGCTAAGTGCATTTCTTTAATAGTCTAAATTAAACTCATTTAATCTGAGAGTGCTTAATTTGTAGGGTGGGATTAATAACGCAAAAGGGAATAAACAGTTTTTCACTGGTAATAAATTTAAATGAGTGGTAACTTGAGGGAGATAATCAGTCATTTCTGTGGGTTTTTTTTCTAGATTGATATTTTGTTCGCGAGATTAGCGCTGCAAACTATTCCCGAAGATCTAGACCTTCGAGATGATAGTCTACTTAAAAATTTAGACATTAGATGCATACGAAGTCTTAACGGTATGTGTATCTGTGGTTTGTTTGTTTATTTTGTGTATACCTTTATTTGAGAACTGATTTAACTCTCGAGCTAAATCATTCATAACAAGAGTTATTATATTATTGAGCTGAGTTACAAAGTTTAACTGAACATCAAGTATGGATGCAAAAGAAGCCTAACATTTGAAAGTCTCCTTGGTTCTGGAGGTAGACTGGAAATTCTGACTACCTCAAGTACACTAAAAAGCAGGGTTGGCAAGCCACTCAATTGACCAGTCAAATATTGTCAATTGATCGGTCATTTGACTGCATTTTTTTTGACTGATTAAAGATTACAGCAGTTTTACGGGGGGGAAAAAAATTGTAGTTTTCTTGACACACATGATTTTTAAAATTGTTTTTGACACATTTTTAATGGAATTTTTTTCCTGTATATTATTTGCAACAGTTGGCAACTTTTACAATTTTTGACCAGTCAATTGACCAAACTTTTTGACTGGTCAAATACCCATCCCTAAAACTTTAAATATAAAAAGACTATATAACCAGGACAAGGATGTTTGTCCCAGTTGATTCTTCAGTCATATGCAACCTTTGAATGTTCCTCTGTGTTATAACTTTCTCTTGTGTTGAATTTCTTGAGAAGGGGCCTTGCAGCACTTTAGTGTTCTGCAACCAGCTTTCTCACAGTCTCCAACAACACTTCCTACCATTTGTTAAACAGATTACTGAAGCATTTAATATTGATGGGTTTATAATGCCATCCTTAAACTTGAGACTTAGTGCCTTGCTCAGTTATTGATAGACCTACTATCTCTCAATATGGTTCTAAAAATTTGTTCTGTTACAAGCAAGGTGTCTACGAAAGCATAAAAATGTTGTTTTCTAATTGATAGGTCATTTGAAGTTAATTGGGTAACACTGGAGTTTTATAAGAGTTTGCTCCTATTTTGAATCTATAACTTTTCTGCATTTCACATTTCTCTCGTGACTTCATAACAGAAGTATGGGTACCTCTCTTCTGATGTGCTTTTTTAAATACAAATTAAGCGTTCTGTTCAAGTGCAGCATAGTTTAAAAAAGAATAAGTCAAAATGCATTAAACGTAGTGTTTAAGTTCCAGACAGCTAGTGATAAGAATATTAAATGCAAGAGGCAAGGATTTTTGTTGATTATCTTTATTGGACCAACTGCTTAGTGTGGAGAGACTTGGACATGCCTTCAAATGCACTTCTCTCTTCCTCAG